CTCCAGGCTGGGGTCTCTGCTGGGAGGAGGCAGCTGGCTCGGCGGGCAGAGGCTGAGGCCCCAGCCACTCTGCCACACACCCTCCTTGGCTGTCGCCAGCCGCCCGGCCTCCCATAGGGCACTGCGGTGACACTGGACCCTTGGGACAGCTTGGCTGTAGGGAGCAGCCTTCACCCGAGGACACGAGCACATCCCGGAGAGTGACACCCTGGGGACCTGTGCCCTCAGCTCCGGGGTGGAGAGGGTTGACACCGGCCATGTCCTATGCGTCCCAACCTAGGGAGGACACCAGCCCAGGGGCCCCCCCACCCCACTCGCCCTCAGCCAGCACTCCCACCCCTCCCGTGGGCCAGGCCCTGTGTGGACAGCATGTCCCTTCCCTGCTTTCCTCCCCCAGCGGGACGGGCCAGGGGTCTGCGAGGCGCCACTCTGTCCCTGCCTAGGGGCCTGTGGCTGAGACCCACAGCCTGATCTATGACTGGGCTCGGGAAGACCTGCCGGACCTTGGCCCACTGAGCACTGGCAACTCCACACCCAGATTCCCCCTAGAACCTAGGTGCACGGGTGCCTGCCTGTACATAGGCCATGGAGGGAGACTGAGGCAGAAGGGTCACAAGTTGGAGCCCAGCCTGGACAACTTAGCAACCTAAGGACACCCGGTCTCCACATCAAAAATGGAGAAGAGCTGGGATCCAGCTCACTGAGAAGCCTCTGGCTCAACCCCAGCACCACAATGAGAGAATCTGTCCAGACACTTTCTCTCTCTCTCTCTCTCTCTCTCTCTCTCTCTCTCTGCTGGGAATGAGCCAGACGGAGGGTGCTCTGTACACCCAGGCACCTTGGAAGGTTGGGCAGAGTGCTCACTGCACAAGGACGCTTCCTTAGGACTGCAAGGCCTGCCTCTCCTGCCCTGGGCCAGCGGAGAAGGCAGCCTTTGGCTGCTGGGAACACAAGCCTGTGGGGAGTCACCCACGGGGCACCCCCGAAAGCTGACAGGGTCCCAGGAACCTCCCAGCCCCCAGCCTTGGGGACAGGGACTGCCCCCAGGGGGGTGGGCCACACCTTCCTGCTCTTCTGCCCCAGGGACAGGGGTCCCCTTCATCCCCCCCACCATGCCTTGGGCAGGAGCCACACTTCTGGAGCCACTCCCCACCGCCACCCTCCGTTCTCCGCTGCGCAGCACATCGCCTCCGTGGTCTGCCCACAGCCTCGTCCTCAGCGCAGTGCTGTGGACCATGTCCCAGGCTTGAAGGAGCCTCCCGCAGGACCTAAGGGACCGCCACTGTGGCACGGCGGCCGATGGCTGGGCAGGGCAGGGCAGGGTAGGAGTGGCCGAGGCCCACCCCAGTGGCTGGGAAAGTGTCCCTCCCGCCTGGGCGAGGCCCAGGGCTCCCGGGGGGGACAGAGTGACGCTGACGATGGTGACAATGTGCCCCGGTCTCGCGGGCAAGGGCAACCTGATGGAAAACTTCACTCGGGCGGGCAACGGGTGGGGAAGAGAATCCCCCAGGAAGGCGCAAACTCTGCGGAGTGTCACACTGAGAGAGGAGCGGGAGCCATGGGCACGTGTGGAGCCAAGCCAGTCTCCCAGGAAGGCCGAGGCAGGAGGCTACTCCCCCCCCACACACACAACAGGCCCGGCGCCGATGGGAGAGTGGCACTGCCAGCCCCAGAAGTGGGCACTCGGACCTGACTCAGGCAGGATCGCTAACTCACTGACTCAGCTGCTGAAAACCCGCGGATCCTGGCTCAGCCCCGGGCAGTAGCCCCTGCCCCGCCCCAGCTTTCCTGCCCCCCACCCTGGAGGTGACTGCGCTCCAGCCCCCCTGGGGCTGGGTCACCCGGAGCCCAGAGACTTCCCAAGGCTGGGGAGGAACTCGGGAAGTCCCAAGTGTCTTCGCCGGGAATGGCGTCCACGTGGTGAAAGGGTCAAGAGCAGGTCGCCCACTCTGAAGAGAACAGAGCAGCTCACAGAGGAGGCTGAGGCAGGATGGGCCCAGCTCCGCACCCTGAAATCAGAAGGCAGCGGCTCGGCGCCCGACCCGCCCC